ATTGTTCTTATTTATCAGCCAATCCGAGACCAACCCACGAAGACAATTCGGAAAGTAAGATGGTTGTTCTTTGATCAACGAGGTAATGTTGAAATCTAGATAAAGAGGGCAAAGTATGATCCCTTATCGCTCGCTCGTCCTAGAAAACTGCTCTACCTCGCAAAGTTCTAAGGTTTGTTCTTACTAGTGCGGACGCCTCCGGCATGCGTAACGTGAAGTGATGTTAGTCCAGCTATAGATACCTCGCAGCTTTTTGTTATTTTGTTGAAATCACGCGAACTTGAACCGATTTGAAAGCCTACTGGTTAATCGGTGTTCATACAAATACAATAAACCTTTTCCCGGGGAACATTCAACACTCCCAGGTAAAACATGAGATCCCCGGGATATCCATACAAGATAACTGGGAGAACATCCCAGACTTCCGAGAAGAATATGCCTGTGACGAAACTAGAATTATAAAACACACACGAAACCCACATGCAAAACACACCAGACATCCTCGTTTCAATCTACACCATTGTAAAATTAATTAGGACGGAATCGTCCCACTAGGCCTGGTTTGCAAAACACAGAACTGAATCAAAATCAGACCCCAGTTGTTCGAAAGGTGGTCAACGCTATCCACCGGATAAATCGCTATCCAGTCGATAAGTGTTAACATAACAAACCACTCTATCCACTGGATAGCGATTTATCCACTGGATAGCGATTTATCCAGTGGATAGCGTTATCCACCTTAAAGCAACCGGGACCTGGCTTCTACGAAAACTATGAATTAAGGATGTCAAATCTGATCGCTAAAATCATCAAAGGAAACATTGCATTTGAAGCCTGGTTTGCAGAAACACAGCTGCTTCGAAATTGTATCTTACAACAGTGACAAAAACTGAAAATTAAGGATATCAAAACTAATCGCTAAAATCATCAAAGGAAAAAAATATGCATTTAATTCATATAGTGATTTCAAAAAAGAAAATATATTTTGTCCAATCCTTACACATTAGCGCCACTAAACCCAGGAGTTAAACTCCTAATAACACAGTCAAAAACTAAACCATTATAAAAAATCTACATCTTTAGATAAAACTGTAGACAGTACTGTTTCGGCCTTCTGGGCCTCGTCAGTGCAGTGCCGAAACTAAGGTGGAGGTTTGGCTAGACAGCCAGTCACCTCTGATGATCCCACACTTGTGGTATCATCAATACCATGCCAAGAGTGCTCAAACTAGCGAATTAGTCAGCTTATTGTACAAAGGCCAGCGGCAATGGTACACCCTAGTTAGAGTGCTCAACAAGATCAAGCCAAACCTCCAACCTAGTCTCAGCACTGCACTGATAAGCCCCAGGAAGCCGCGACAGTACTGTTGTATTTTTTGTTACATTGTGAAAATCATGGCATTTAAAGCAAGACAATTTTCTCTCAATGGCTCCTTAGAAAAGAAACAGCAGCCCAACGTTTCCAGATGTAATTAACTTGTAATAAGCAAATTGTTTCAAATTAGATGTGCACACTTTTCCTTTCATCCTGAAAAAATACCTAGGCTGATTTAACTGTTATTCCCTCAACAGCGAATACAGCAAAGAATTATTACTGTACATTTTCGTTTAAATCAAACAAATGTGACTTACATTAGCCACCCCAAAGTCTAGGAGACCATTTGTTTAGTGGTGGTCATTCAGACCATAATTTCAAAGATAATTATAAGCTTTTTCTTCCAGTCAGCTAAATTAGATTTCCATGCAAATCGGATTAAGTTTCTTTTCACAGTCAGTGTATACTTTCCAAGTAAACCGCAAAGTAGCTTGATCCCTGTATACCCACCCTCTCCCACCCCTTAAGTAGCCCAATTGCTACATTTTGTCCTTTGACATCCCTTGACTTTTTGATGTTGTTAGACAAAATTATTTAAGTTTTCACAGGCTGACAAGATGAGGGTAGTTCGTTCCAGTATCTGATGGAAGGAGGAACAAGGTGATTTTCCCTCATCCCCTGGAACTAAGTCCTCCCTCATCAGTTCTTTCTCGCGTTTGTTTCTGAATCTTTCTCGTTCAGTAACGTCTCGAGTTCACCACCAAGACATTGATAATGTAGTCTCCTGTGGCGTACGAGCAAGATGAATGATTTGTTATTGTTTAGAGGTCCTTGACTCTTTTACAAATCATTCTTCCGAACACTATATGTATATCGCTTCTTAATCTAGATGTACTTATGTTTTCTTTGGTCGTTTCTTGACCAAGTATTCTATTATCTAGAGGTTTCCTTCAATTCGAAGATCGTAAAAGCTCCTTAATTGCAAATAAAAAGTGATCGAAATATTTCAGACGAAATTAACCATCAAGACGCACGCCTCGAATTTGGTCAAACATTTGAATTGCGGCGAACCCTTCGCTAACGACTGAACTTGTCAGCGTTCAGTTGGAGCCAGACCTTAATGTTTTGATGAACGCAATGGCTGCACAAAATTGCATCCAATAATAAGCTTCCTCGCCACTGAGCCTCTTGTCATAGAAGTTAGTGACATATTGCATGGTGGATAGCAGGCCTGGAGGATTGGCGTGAATCACCACGTACACCAAAACAGGCACGAATTCATCGGCCCCAGGTGCACTCGTCTCGCTTGCCAAACACAGCAAGTTCATAATGGTACCGCAACACCGCCTCACACACTTTAGTTTGTCCGTGGGCGTCTAAAGAAGTGAAAGAGGTTAGCTAAGGTCTTTGAAACATCAACTTGTACCAGACACTGATAATCCTATCTCTATTTTGTAACAGATCGCTTAACTCCAAAATCTAACCTGTTGCATAAAATCACTTTTCCACTGACTCAGTTAAATGGTTGTTCACTCAATGAATTTACGTAATGGCTATCAGCAAAAGAAAATTTATAACGACATTGACAACTCATATACCAAGTGCTATTTTTTAACCTCCCGCCACTCTTGCTACTAAATACACGTCCTTCATTCATATTTGTGTTGATACATATTTTTTCCTGAAAATTTTCCGGGTTAAGCGTTTATTATTTCACATAATACTTCGATTTTAACCTCCTTCCTTATAGGATATCTGCTCATTGTAATGTATAGATCATATACTGAAACACGTGATTACCTTGTAAGCATTGATTGCTAGCAGTTCCTTCTGAGCTGATTCCCAGGGTGCTTCTTTGCGATATTTCTAACAAAGATGAAAAATTTGTCATCACGTTACTATAGCAAATACAACAGAAGGTTTGCACAGTTGGAGGAAAAGACACTGGATATAAGCTATACATGGCTTGCATTAGACCTAACAAAAAAATAAACACCAGCTTTGTTGCACCCTATTGTGAGTTTAGAATGACCTACCTTGGGCACTCGCACAGCCTTGTGGTTAGGGTGAATAACCCTCTGTAGATTGTTCACGTGCTCATGAAATGTTCTAGAATTTCGAGGAAAAAAACCAAACATGATATTCAATCACGTTTTTAACGACAATGGGGTTCCGAGAATTCATGTCTTGTATCAAATATTATCAGAACTTAAAAACTCTTTGAAGGGCGACTGCCACCTAAGGAAGTTTTATTTGTAGGATCTTTGTTTCTTTTTTTTCGGGTATACATTTTTTTTTCCAAGTAAACAAAACTAAGGTTTTGAAATGTAAACCGGGCACCTAATGTTAAGGGCACTCGCCTCTGGATCGATCAGTTTGGGATAAAACCCTGGCTGGGATTATCATGTCTTGCTCTTGGGCAAGAAATGTCGGCTCCTTCTTGGTGTAGAAGACACAGGACACGCCATAACAGAACACTGCATCACAAACCTATTGTTTTCATTGTTTTCCTCGTCCTTTTGTTCTCTATTGCTTTACGTCAGCTGTGTCTTCTATACCAGGTAAGTGCCAAAACGTCACTCTCAGGGTGCCACTCTCCATTTCAGTGTACACGTGGGTACCAGGAAATTTAATGGGATGGACTGACTTCCAATCCACGAAGAAGTAGAAATACTGCAAGTTGCTTTAAGGTTAATGCACGGGGGTCAGCCTGGTAAGCTTATCAACCAACAGTGTTAATCATTAGGCTGGTCCTTACACAGCTACTCTTGATCATAGCTCACCTATCTCTTTCCATGTCAATCTCGCCATTCGGGTAAAAGGCACATTTGTAGATACTGCTCATGATGGCTCGTTCAGTTGCTTCTAAAGTGTCCTGGAATTGCTCCTCACTGACACCTGTCAATCAACATTAAATTCCAAGTAAAATAAAAGGGCTGAAATAAATAATGTGAACAGAAAGTAAACATTATTCTTATGCACATAGTAGGTTATAAATTTGTTCCAATTCTCTGTGATCTGCAATGTTACAACGTTTTGTCTCACATTTTTATCTACCATTAATAGACCAATTATTCAGCCTAAAACAATAGACCTCAGTACGAGGCTCTAGGGAATAACTACAGAGTTTGTAGTTTGTGGGGTTTATTCCCCAGAGCCTCGTGCTGAGGTCTATTGTGTTAGGCTGAATTATAATAATATCAAAATTGGTCTGTTAATCAACTGAAATAACTGCATTGTAAGTTATCAGAGGAAAATACCTGTACCTGACCAGATTGGATGTCTTTCCATCTCTTCAGCTAATGTTTTCAAAAAATCCTCAAGTAACGCACACTGTGAATCGGTAATGAAGACAAACAGTGAATGTCCAATCACAGAAAAGACTTAAGAATCAGAATTGTCAACTGTTGCACAGAGAATTTCAGTTATGTTTTAGTACATTTATTGCACTATTACATTGAAAGAATTCCAATAACATTACAGTAAGATTAACCAATAAACGTATTTACATACAATATTCCATATCTATTTGCGGCACATAACATGAATAAACAATAGCCTCCATTTGGCGCGAAAATATGCTCGGATATTTGTCCGTGGACATATTATCTGTTCCGAGAAGCGAACGGTTTTCCGAGAGCGTAGCTCAAGGAAAACTGTGAGCTTTGAAGAACATATAATGTCTAAGGACAAATGTCCGAGCATATTTTCGCGCCAAATGGAGGCTATTGTGTTTATTATCCTTCAAATATTTTTCGCAACATGCGCAGGTTTGAAAATTGGAGAACATTCTCGGATATTCCCCAGTTTTAGCTGGGGAATATTCGGTCATGTGATGCATTTAGACCAATCGCACACGAGCGAAAATATTTGCTGGATTATAATGGATGGCTGTATGATATTTAATCATAATCATAGTAATAACATGTCATATCAAACCTTGTCATCTGGTGTAGGTGAGGCTTGAAATTCAGAGCTGAATTTATTGATCTCTTCTTTCTCCTTTGGCTCCAGAAACAGCTTTACACAGTTCATGATTAAGTAGTTTTGGCAGATAATTTTGTCCCTGTGATAATAAATTATTGTCAAGTATAGGCAGTATTAGAGTATAAGCCTTCTAGTTCCCTGGAGAAATCAACATCTATTGCATTTCTCCTTCATAGTAACGCAATGCTGAGAAGTTAGATATAGTTAAATGAAATTTAACATAGTTAACGACTAGGAGCTAGTCTGGTCAGTAGCGTTTTTACAGGCGGTTGTTAGTGTCTTGGCCGT